CATCATAACCAACTTCTGAAGAACTTTGCATGATTTTCTCAACTATCAAAGATCCTTCGACACCTGCACTCTTAGCAATGGTCATTGCAGGAATTTTGAGTGTCCTTTTTATGATTTCTGTACCAATTTTTTGATCTTCATTAGCTGGAGTCAGTGAGTCCAAGGCTGGAATGCACCGAAGCAGGGCACAACCCCCTCCTAAAACAAGGCCTTCTTCAACAGCAGCTCTTGTAGCGTTGAGGGCGTCTGTAACTCTATCTTTCTTTTCATTCACTTTGACGTCACTGGTCCCACCAACCTTCAGCACAGCTACTCTATCTGAAAATTTTGCCAGACGTTCATTCAGTTTTTCCTTTTCATATTCGCTAGTTGTGACATCTAACTGCTCGATGATTTATTGAATACGTTTTTTAATTTGAGCCTTGTCACCTTTTCCTTTCAAGAGCATAGCATCATCTTTGGTCACAATGACCTCTCCAACTTTTCCTAAATCATGAGGCTGAACATCCTCAATATTTAGGGTCAACCCCTCTTCTCCAAACACCGCACCTCCTGTAGCAATAGCCGTGTCTTTTAGCTGGTTCTTTCTATTGTCACCAAAACCTGGAGCTTTTACTGCTACGACCTGAAGACCAACTTTTAGCCTATTCAAAACAAGTGTACTTAGAGCTTCTCCATCAACATCTTCAGCAATTATGACCAAGGGCTTACGGTGAGCATTGGCAATTTTAAGAGCAGGTACAATGGACTGGACACTATAAAAAAATTTTTTTTCACTCAACAGAACATAGGCATCTTGGAATTCACATTTCTGACCTTTTGATGTATTAATGAAGTATGGAGAAGTGTAGCCTCGATCAAACTTTATGCCTTCAATAATTTCTAATTCATCATTCAGTGTTTTTCCATCCTTTACTGTGATGACATCCTTTCTACTGACCTTTTTCAGGCATCAGAAATGTTACCAATTTCTTTGTCTCTACTTGCAGAAATTGTAGCAACCTGAGCAATTTCTTCCAGGGTCGTCAGAGGTTTAGAATGCTTAAATTCAGCAATTACAACATGAACGCTAACATCAGGCCTCTCCTAATTTCCACTGGATTAGCACCTTTACTCATTTTCTCGAAGCCCTCCTTGGCAATAGAGCATGCCAGTATGGTAGCAGTGGTGGTACCATCCCCAGCCTCTTCGTTTGTATTATTGGCAACATCTTGAACAAATTTAGCTCCAATATTTTTATATTTATCCTTTAAGTCCATTGATTTTGCAACAGTCACACCATCTTTTGTTACTTTGGGACTTCCCCAACTTTGTTCAATAATTACTGTTCTTCCCTTCGGCCCCATTGTAATGGCTACAGCATAGGCTAAAAAAAGTAAAACATTACAACATTAAAGGTCTACACCTTGAAGCATTAAGGCTCGGGCATCGGCACCAAATTTAACATCTTTGGCATAAGCCGGAGTGAGATGAGGAGCCAGTGCCCGGGACACAGGCCTCATCTGGTAAAGGACTGTGGGTAACCGAAGAATTTCTGTGGGGCAGCAGCCGGGTGTGCGCGCGGCAAGGCAGCCCATTGGCGGCGAGTGAGGGACAGAGTGCAAGGCGCACAGGGCAATGAGCCCATGTCCCCTCTAGGTTACTATTGTTCATTTGATTATTGCAAACTACATTCATGCTTCCATATCTATATATATACCCCATAAAGATGTACTAAAATTAAATTTAGTATAAGAGATTATAAAATAATATAAAACAGAAAAAAAAGTCAATTAAAAACAAAAAGATACACTCTGGAGTCCTTTGATCCAGAAGCCTATTTTCCATCTTTCTGATTTTCTCTCTCACTCCTTCTATCTCTCTGTTTATCTTTAAAATAGAGACCAAGACAATAGCTATATTATCAACTACAATAATGACATCAGAGTGCATAAGGAAATTTAATGACCAGTGACTCAACACAGAGGGCAGATTGGGAAGGAGAGAAATAATCTAAGAGTCAAAGAGCCTGAGTCATGTAAATTGGATTGGCAGGAAAATCTTCAAGACGACAATAATAAATAATGGTGGGATAGGGGAAATAAAATAATTATTTTCACTATCTCTTGTCAGTAGTTTCCAGTTTCACATATAAACATTCTTTGTCCACTTAACTCACTATGAAAGGACCATCATTCCTAATCATGAGTCAGATTTATCCTCCTGGATGTCCACAAGTATATGGGAATATAACACTCAGTATAAAGTGTAGACTTGACCTCCAATGGTAAATCAGACAGATGCATACAGTAGCGAGTGGCAGATGTCTTGTGACAGTTGTCATTCAGGAAGTCAAAGTAAGAAAAGCCCATTAGAGGTGATTCAGGAAGAGTTGTTGAGATGAGTACTATAACATCAGGAAAAGGAGAGAATGTTTCCCATCCATCCTGGACATCAGAATCACACAAACACATTTGCCTAATTTGATAATTGCCTACTTATCAGCACAAAGAGTAAGAAGGATAGGGTGCTGCATCTGATGACAGTAGCCTCCGAGCATGCTATAAAAAGGGACTTGGGGCCAGGAGACCTCCAGACCTATTCAACCCACCTTCCTGGAAACCCACCCAGAACCTCTACCCTCTGACACCATGGTCAACTCCTGTTGTGGTTCCAACTGTGGCTCTTGCTGCTGCAGGCCCATCTGCTGCCAGACCACCTGCTGCAGGACCACCTGCTGCCGTCCCTGTTGCCGCCCCTGCTGCTGTGGTTCTAGCTGCTGTGATTCCAGTTGCTGCAGGCCCAGCTGCTGTGGCTGTGGCTGTGGTTCCAGCTGCTGCAGGCCCAGCTGCTCGCCTGCTGTTGTCGTCCCACCTGCTGCCAGACTACCTGCTGCAGGACCACGTGCTGCCGTCCCAGCTGCTGTGTGTCCAGCTGCTGCCGCCCCTACTGCTGCCAGACCACCTGCTGATGCCCTGACTGCTCTAGTGGTTCTTAGGGCTGAGCACTCTGCCCTGCACCCACCTCTTCTTTGCTATTCATGACTCGCTCCTTCTGAGATCCAAGTCATGAGTTATCACTTGGGAAACTTCAGTTCCATCTGATCAGTATATTGTCAGACCCTGAACTTCATTCACCCTCCCACAACATGTTACCATATCTCTATCACATATTATCACAAGTTTGAAGTTCTTCAATTAACCAATCACCAAATGGAAGTATTTGCTGTTTGCCATATTTTCCCATTTGGATCCTCCTCTTCATTTAGAATAAATCTTGATTTTCTAGGCATATAAATATAAGGTTGTCAAGTGTCTTTAATTTTTTTCTTGAGTGTGTACTTTCTGATATTTTAGCCATTCTCTCTGCAGATAGAGAGACCTATGATGATGATTTTATGGACTCTGACTCTATTCCCAGAGCACTTCTCCCTCTAATATAGGAAGATGATTGTTCAGAACAAGCACCTGGATCCTTCTTCCTGAGAACATTCCCAGAATTAAGTAACATCCTCTGGACAGATGGAGATGGCCTTACAGAATAGCTATCAAATAAGTAAGATGAGTTAGTGAATAATCACCGAAGTTTATTTCCCCTCGATTTAAGACTGTTGTACCAATCCTCACGAGGTCTTCAGGGGAACAGGACCTTAGTTGCTTCCAGGAGTTTTCTGGTCATCATTGCAGCCTAAATGGGCTTCCCTTTCTTTCTTGTATCATTTTCCAGTATCCTACTGTGCCTCTTGGCAATACCTACCAATAATTGACTTCTCCAACCCAATGGCTTATTCTGTTTCAGAACGCACACACTGTCAGATTGTAGTGTTTTTAATGTCAATACCATTGTCCCTAACACATTGTTTTTTCATAGTATCAATGATTGCATGGGGTTATTTTACTCTGGAGTTTCCTGACAAGTAAACTGGTAAATCTGCACACTTGAAAGTTTTTCTAACTACTATATAGTTGTCCTTACCTAATTCCTTCAGTCTTTTTCACAGCACTCCACCTGAGGAATTGGGCAAAATCAGCATGTTGAGAACACTCATTCAATGTGAGGCCTAGTTGTAGAAATACTCGCATAAACTGTGTGGAAGAGGCTTCATTTAGGAGGGCATCATGCTAGTTGTTTTGAAGGATGCAGAGTCCAAGGATACCACCCTAAACTAAGTGCATATTGGATTTGCTGAAAGGACATCACTGAATTCTGTACTCTTACACTGGTGCTTTATAGGGGAAGTATTCCCAGGGGAAGTCCACAAGAATTTAGAGAAGAAGGTAACTTAGTAGAGAAAGCAGGGTAATAATGAGATTGTGCATCACTGCTGTCCTCATCTGACTCTATAGGAGGCTAAAGAGTGTGACTGGTACCAAAAAATATCTGCCCTAAAGACTAGGTAGTTGTATCTTTGTATTTTTATATCAGATAAAAGTAGGTGTGGGCCACCCAGGAGAATGAGTAAAGGGTGCTTAATAGGCAGAAAGATGCAATGATATAAATCCTATCAGTTCAGGGCAATTACCTGGAGACTAGTACAGGTGAACAACACAAGCCATTAGTACTCCACAATAACTCAAACTTCTGGATGGGGTATCTATCTGGTACAAGGTATTTGAGTAGGGTATTGCATAGCTGATGCTTGTCACCACTCAGAAGCACCTCTTTATCTCATTGAGCTCACTCCACTAATTGGTCAAAAATTTCTAGAGAAATTTTCCAAGAGGAAGTTAGCAGGCAGTACTTCTGCTGGTCTAGGTGACTAGCTTGCTAGAGAAACGAATGTCCTCAGCAGATAACTGAGCTTTTGCTTATAATTCTTGTTACAATTCTGTTCTATTTTTTTGCAAAACGAACTAGAAATTTACAATTTACTCATTGCTTCCCTATTTGCTCCATAGATTCCTTGGCCTATATTACATTGCTTTGGTTCTACTTGTTCATGAAGACAAGATGAATTGGCATTGCGAATGGTTCCTATTTTGCTTGTTGTTACCATAGTACCAGACACCTAAAATGCTAAGGCAATAGCCATAGTAATACTTCCAATGGAACCCTCCTTATGTCCTATGGAGAAGATACATTCTCACCTGAAGCCAGAACATCCAGATGCTCAGGTCTCACAGTATGTGGGAATTAAGCATACGTATCCTACATAGGGATTACTGGGAGTAAACATGAGTGAAGTGGCTCCTGTTTTATCACCTTGTTTATCTTACTAAGTGTTCGATCTGTTAGAAACCCATATACATAATGATCATTTGTTTAAAGTCAATAGTGCATCCTGAAGAATATTGCTTTATCCTCACAGGATGTCATTTCCAAGCTGACAGCTTAGCCATAGTATCAGGATAAGATTTCATCAAACTATTAACTCCAATATTTCTGGCTGGTGCAGTTCAAAGTGGAACCAGTGGGGGACCAGCAGTTAGCGTAATGGCTATGTCACTGGACTTCCATGTAGTCGACCGCGATTAGCGTCCTGGACCCAGTGGCTTAAAACTCATGCTAGGCACGTGTGCATGCGTGCCCAAGATCCCAAGAGGAGAATGGAAGAGAAGGGATTGCGGCATGGCCACCCCCTCTGGGGGGTGATTTCTCGCTTTCTGTCTCTATGTCTCTCTCTGTCTGTCTGGCAAGCGCACGCGCCCTATAGCAAAAACCTCTCCAAAAAAAAAAAGTGAGACCAGTGGATCCCATGGTCACCCACTCACTGCCTCGTTTTCTGCTCTTTGCATGAGGTCCTTTGGTACAAGGCAGAGTTATGTAAGATTCCAAGTTGCTAAAGATTATTTAGCTCACATGAAATTTTACTGGCTGAGACACCATTAGATCTTCAGTTCATTAATTCCTCTATATTTCTAAGAGTGGGCCTAACACTTCATCTTCTTAGATCTATGCACTTGGACAAACTTGCCTCAGTTATTAGTAACCACAGTTCTGATATTTTTCACATTCAATCATTCCTATCTTCTTGGCCTTGTAGTAGTCTGGGGAACTCAATTTATGGAAGAGTAACAACAAAGTTGTCTTCACAGAGACCAATTCAAGACAGGAATTGTTAGCCTAAAACTATATTTGCCAATCAGGGTTCTCTAGGAAAAAAGAACCTGCATGATATTCTAGCTACAAGAGATTTAGTTGGTACTTTATTGCACATAGTGATAACAGCTGTGAAGGTGCACAACATACTGTCACCAATCGTAAGAGCCTGGCTTTCTGGTAGTGCCATCCTGTCCAAGCGCAAGGCATCAGAGGCAGAATAGCCACTGAAATAACTCAGGATAAGGCTGAAAACATGAACACTTGGGAAGTCTCTGGGGTTAATTCTGCATCTAAAGGCAGACAGTCCTTCACTTCTGCTACTAAGACAATGGAAGAGGTCTACCTCTTCTCTTTCTAGAGTGATCCATTCATCCTTTTAATTTATTCTCTGGGACCCTTGCGTTTTTGTCCACATTCAAAGGAATCTTCCACATATAGTCTATTTGACTCACATGTTAATCTCTTCCAGAAATACCCTCACGGATATATTTAGAAGACTGGTTTATTATGTTTCTAGGTATTCTTTGTTCAGATCAGTTGACACCCAGAACTAACCATCATACTATTTTATGTGGAAAGTTAAACATATTTGGAATCACATGATAAAAAGATAGGATTTCATAGGTACTTCCTTAGATATCTGTGATTTCCAGGGTGTCAGCTGATGAGTTGGCACAGTCTCTAGTTTTTGAAACAGATGTCAATGATGATTGGTCATCTTTGCACTATTGATACATTTATTTTACCCTCAATAAGAAAATGATATACATGGGGGTCCTTTGATCTAGATGCCTATTTTCTGTCTTTATTCTTCTGTCATTCATTTTTTGTTTCTCTCTTTCTTTGTTTTTACAATTGAGACCTAGACATTAATGCTAGCATCAACATTTATAATGATGCCAGAGTGTGTAAGGCATCTTTATGCCCAGCAACTCAACAGAGAGAGCAAATTAAAAAAGTGAGAAATATTTTTAGAGGCAAGGAGACTGAGTCATGTAAACTGGCTTGACAAAAAAAAAAAAATCGTGGAGACAGCTTAGATGAATTAATAAACCCAATTTGCTCAGAATGGCAGGAGGTCAAATTCAGGTGTATAATCAGCCTCACACAGCAGAGAGTGGAAGAACCCAAACCTGTAGGTATCATTGATCTCTGCAACAAATTTTTCTTCAAAGACCCTAAAACTGACATTTGTTTTGTTCTGAATTCAGACATTAAAATAACAAAACTTTAAGTGGAGACATACAATGCCTCTCTTTCATAGTCTGACTTGCTTCATAAATGGCAGAGGGTGAGAGGAAGGGAATCAAGGGGAAAAAGAAAGAGGTAAAACTAGTTAAGAAACACAAAATGTAAAAGTATTTGTTGATGATAATATATATAGTAATATCTTAGATTGAGCCAATCTACAGTGTATATTTGAGAAAATTCATTTTGTATGCTGTAATGATATACAGTGAAAAAATGTAAAATAAGAAAAAGAAAGAAAGAAAGTAAAAAATAAAATAAAATAAAATAACAAAACTTAGTTTTTTGCTTTTTTTCTTTTTGCCCTGGAACAGTTCTGTGCTTCTACAGAAACATCTAGAAGGAACATCTTGATTCACAGTGGAAAAAAGGAAATTTTCTAATTGTCTTCCTGGTCTTGTGTCAGTGGTTTCCTATTTCATATGCAAAACTTTTTTGGCCCTCCTGACACATAGTGCCATCTTTCTTCAACATTAGGTAGCATTATACTACTGCATGTCCACTAAGTGTCCAGAAATACAACAATTATTTGATCCACATGTAGACCTCATATCCAATGGAAAATGAGACTGAGGCACATAGTTCCTAGAGGCAGATGTCTTGTGAAAGCTCTCATCAAGGAAGCTAAACAAGAAGGGCTCATCAGAGATGATTCAAGAAGAGCTGATGGGATGAGTACTGACACATCAGGAAAAAGAGAGAATGTTTTTCATTCATCTTGAAAACTTGAGCCTCCAAACACATTCACTTAATTTGATAATTACCCAACTATTAGTACAAAGTAATTAAAAAAGTGTGCTGCATCTGATGTCAGCAGTTCCCTAGCAGGGTATAAAAGGGAATGTGGGGACAGCAGACCTCCAGACCTTTCCAACCAACCTTCCGGGAAACCCACCCAGAACCTCCACCCTCTTATACCATGGTCAACTCCTGTTGTGGCTCCACCTGCTCTGGTCAGAGCTGTGGCCAGACCTGCTGCTGTCGGCCCACCTGTTGCCAGACCACCTGCTGTAGAACCACTTGCTGTCGCCCCAGCTGTTGTGTGTCCAGCTGCTGCAGGCCCAGCTGTTGTGGCTGTGGCTCTGGCTGTGGCTCCTGTTGCTGCAGGCCCAGTTGCTGTGGTTCCTGCTGCTGTCGCCCCACCTGCTGCCAGACCACCTGCTGCAGGCCCAGCTGCCGTCCCCGCTGCCGTCGCTGCTGCCGT